GTAGTAACAAATAGCTATTAGTAACAAGTGCCACGCTAGTAGTAACAAGTGCCTTACTAGTAGTAACAAATAGCTATTAGTAACAAGTGCCACGCTCGTAGTAACAGGTGCCTTACTAGTAGTAACAATGTTTGCTATGACATCGGGTGCGTCGTGATGGACGTTTCAGCAAAGGCTCTCTGCTCTCGCCCAACCGCCCTTCAACCCAACCCATGAACGAGTCGAACGCAAGGAGACGACGTGGAAGATGTCCCACCGTTTGTTCATCACCGAGGATGTCATGGCATCGAATCAAATGAGTTTACCAGTTAGTTTACCAGTTAATCACCGAGATCTCTTATCGAGTTCCTGAAAGCCCAAACATATCCAAGCACACATATGGTCCAACAAAGCAGAAACGTGAGCAGGCGTTGCTAAGAATCATCCTCTTGACCCGAAATGCCCTTTCCTCTCAGCACGAGCCCTCATATGGAGGGGTCGGACCCTCATATGGAGGGGTCTGGGGTCTCAAATCCCTAGGGTTTTGAGGTACCAAGAGCTGTGAACGGACCGCTTGGGCAAACCGGCAAACCAAGAAGCAAGAGAACCCACATTGAAAGCAACACTTGGACTGAGCCCAAGTGGAGACTGATGGAGGTACAAGAGGCTGAAGAACGGGTCCGAAGTTGGAGCTGACAATGTCAACATAGACGGTTTGCCCCTAGATGGCTGCATGTCTTCATATCGGGGGCTTCATGAATCAACAGCCTACATCGTAAGATTGCATGATAGCACGCCACATGAAACTCGTTGGCTCTAGATCCCCTACAAGGGCTCCCCTTTCACTTCCTTGGTCATTCTTCACCTCTGTGTCAAATCATTTAGCCACCAGTCCGCACCCAAGGATTCCTCATCCATGGTGTCCAAAGACCACCCGTGGTGTCCAAAGAAGAATTTCCATCCTTTTCTCGTGCGACTCTCGGTCTTTCTCGCACCCCGACTCCGCCATCGGTGGCGGGCGCCCCGACTCCACCGCCGCGTGCTCGTGCTGTGCCGGAGCTTTGAAGACCACTTGCCTTGGTGACGACTTCGGGCGCGTTTTGCAGACGGAGTCTGCCCACCAGTGCTTCTGAGACCAAGCCGGCTCACGAGCCGGCTCGTCTTGCCAGTAAAGGAACCCGCCTTTTCATGATTCAGCATCACTCAGGATGAGATCTGGCGATCATGCTTTTGGTGGACGTGAGGTGTGATCCTTTACATTGCGATAGCGGAGGGACGACTTTCTGTTCAAGGTCAGTTGAATGCGGTCGTGCTCGCTGCCCGCGTGCACGAAGAATGCGTGAGCTTGAGCGCCTCGGCAGGCCCTCTCGCTTGCCTTTTTGGCCACAGAAGAGAGCCCTAGAAATCAGCCTATGGTGAAGCCAAACGAAGCTCACAAGAAGCCCCTGAAAGAAGAGGGGCTGCTAAAGACATCTGGTCTTTGCGACGGACTCCAGCTGCGTTGGCTCACCCTCACCGGGGACACCCGGTCTTTGCTTCGAGGTATGAATCGGCCCAAAACGTGTAGATTTTCTTCAGTGGAATCACCCGTTTTTTTGGCTCGTGCGTTCACTCTTGATGATCTATGATTCACCCATTCAACATATTCACCCATTCGCCCCTTCGCAATGGAAAGGGCCCTTTGGCAATCCACTGCCAACCGACGCAGGGCGCGGGGTCCGGTCGGGCGCCCCCGCTGCAGCGCGGTCTCCGGCGGCTCCGTCAGCTGCTCCGCGGGCACCTGATCCATCCGGCAGAGACCCGCTTGCGGCTTCCCAGGGAGATCATGAGATCAGAACTTCCATGACTTGACTCAGGAACTGGCAAGGGTCTGGGAGTCTTCATCCGCTGCGCATTGGGGTAAAACGAAGTCATTTTGGGACTCTCAAGGGGTAACAAGAAGAACCAAAACAACAGCTTTCCCCTCCGAGACCGCTGGAATTTTAGAGTAGATGTCTCCATTCTTGGGCTCTAGATCTTAGCTATTTTGGGCTTGAATTGGTCTACAAAGGGTCAAGAGGGAAAAAAGACGGAATCAAGCGAAAACATGGCATCCAACATAGCATGAAATTGGCTTTGTGAGAGCTTGGCCGCAGTGGGAGACTGAACCGCATCATCATCTACCCTCTGTTGAAGAACCCTAGTTCGACTATCCCATAGGTACCCTGCTAGGGTCCTTAGGGTCCTAGTTCAGGTCACTTAACCTCTGTTGGTACCAACTACTGTTTGCCATCATCTACCCACTGCATGCTTCCGAAAAGCTCGAACCCCAGAATTCATCCTCCCCGAGCGAACCTCATCAAAGCTCCGTCCGGCGTCCCGTGAGGAGACCGACCAGCCATCCCTACCAACGACTGGATGGAGACGGAGTGATTGACGGAGTGAGGATCCTTTCCACTTGAGGAAGTCTTGAGATCCACCACATCGAGGGTCTCTCCACCTCTGCGGTTTTCTTTTGGATCCTCCAAACTCGTTTTCTTCACGTCAGTGTACCGGACAGGTTTCCACCCGCTCACGCACTCAGCACTCAGCACGACTTGGGTGGAACCGCCTGGCGCATCCGGTCCAAACGCTCTTCGTCCAGCTCGATCATGGCCACTTCGGGCTTCACGGCATGGATCACCGTCTGGCATGGAGCGGTCGCCAGCGGTCGCCAGCCGGCGTGGAGTTGGTCGGGACTCGTTCAAGAACGGGAGCCCGGAGCGGCTGATGGGAAGGTGGAGGGACTCCAAGGGAAAGAAGAACGGCTTCTTGTCTTTTTGCTCTTTAGTGGTTTCAATTTTTGGGGTACAGTAGTTGACCAAGTTGAGAAGGCAGGCAGGCAGGAGCTTCGAAACATGGACCGGATCAGAACATCCAATAGAGGTAGAAGATGGTAGAACGTCAAACAGGCGTCAGCACTTGAGTTGGCCGGTAACGGACGCCCCCCGAAATGTTCATCACTTTACTCGGATACCGTGGTCATTGCCTAGTCCTGCACACATGGTCGTCAACGAGATGCTGCACT